GGTGGCTCCACATGCTTCCATTGCATCGACTGAACTTTAGTCTCAAGATCATAGTGATGGACCCATGTTTCATCCTGTGTGATAAGTCTGTCAAAAAAGTTTGCCTGTTTTTTTTGGCACATGTCCAAAAGATCCTTTGAGCAATTGACTCGTTCCTGCTTTTGGAAAGGTGTGAGCAACCTGGGAATCCATCGTGCAGACACCTTATGCATGTTCAAATTGTCATGGATGATTTTTTCCACAGACCCTACACTGATCTTGACGTCTTGTGCTAACTGGCGAACAGCTATACGTAGGTCTGCCAAAATGGCGGTCTCCACTTGATGGATAGTGTCCTCATCAATGGCTGAATGGGGGCGACCAGGAATGGCAGCTGTTTCCACAGATGTCCGACCACACTAGAACTGGCGATGCCAGTGTTTAACAACGTCATATGATGGGGCATCTTCCCCATAAGTTGCTTTCATTTCATCGAAAGTTTCTTTTGGTGTGCGCCCTTTCAAATATAAAAACCTAATCACTGCTCGGTATTCTACTGGCTCCATTGTCACACCCTACTCGATCATAACACCTGTAAAAGTGGTAAGATTAATAGTTCGGTGCTGCAAATTCAGTGATAACCCATAGATACATGTATCATTACACGTGAAATTTCAACCAAATATGATAACCCTAAGTGGTTTAGGGGAAATCTTTAATGAACACCCCTCGTATCATAACTTGCACCGCCTATTTGTCTCGGGTTTTGTGAGTTGGTTCAACATTTGCTGGATTACCAGTAATATCATAACATTGGGAAAACGTAAACATAACGTTGCCACAACGTTGGAACAGCGTGAAATTGTTGGCTAAGTACATGTACACTGTACAGCGGCCGTATGCATTCACATGAGGTGGAGGCACGTGGTGTATTCTTATCTGTGAAGTATTGACAATGGAGATATGAGTCCAGTTATATTCTTGCCTGCAATAACACCATTAGTTGCCTTGACATGGAAATAATATTTGCTGTCAAAACCTTTTTACAAGGACATAGAAGAGTGATGTTTAACGAAATGAAAACAAACATGAATATGCTTTTAATAACTACATACGTGTTCATTGCTGTTATTACTGAAAATAAATATTGAATACATTGTTGGAGTCCAGATCGATGAGTTGAGTGATACCGCATTTCCTGTATTTACGCCACCAGGGGTCTATTCTGTTTTACGCTGGCAAAGTGGCATCTCCTTACCGAATCCCAATTTTTAAATTTACACAAAGAGTATGTTATTACACCAACATATGACAGTATCAAATCGGGAACTGTATCTTGGATTTTCATTAGAGGCTATTATATGTAAGTGTTTTCAAATCATACCCATATCAACCCGAGACCCACGTATCAGCCCTTATTATCATATGAGTGAGTGAGTTGGGTTTAACGCTGCTTTTAACAGTATTCCAGTTATACCACGTCGTGTCAGCTTAATGTGGGAGGAAAGCCCGAAGTGATGCAGGTCTCAGACTTTTACCACTTCGATGAAACCCACAAGCACGGGTATGGTGCTGACAAACCTAGAAACATAATTGGGGCGAATCTGGATTCGAAACCACAATCACAGGAATCTGACGTGCCCAAGGGACGCAACTCTGCACAGCGAATCGCGGCGCCCTAGTCGACTGGGCCACCCGTGCCCCTCATATACCATGACATCAAATTGTAAAATGTATCCATCAATCAAATCTGGGGACATTCCGTACATATCCGAAAAATTGTGCCGGGTCTTGCATCTCGCCAGATAGTTTCTGAACAGCTTTATGTCGCTTATTATTCATTTTGTTCACAAAACCCTTCCGTGTCCGTTTCGCTTTTAAATCTGTCCTCGTCCCTTAAAGATTCCTGATTAGAATAGGTCTTCAGCAACCCATGCTTGTCGTAAGAGGTGACTATGCTTGTCGTAAGAGGCGACTAGCGGGATCGGGTGGTCAGGCTGACGAATGACTTGGCTGATTCATGTCATCGTATCCCAGTTGCATAGATCGATGCTCATGACGTCAATAATTGGATTGTCTGGTCCAGACTCGATTATTTACTGACCGCCCTCATATAGCTGGAATATTGCTGAGTGCGGTGTTAAACAACAAACAAACACAAAATCTGTCCGCGATTTGGCTGAAAAGAGGTATCTACCTCCATAATTCTATTTGCAAGTGAATGCAGTACATTTTGACCTTGTTTTAAAGGCATTCACGAGAAAGCAAGCCGAGCAGACTTCGCGCTAAGGGACGTAACTCCATTTTCTTAACACTCATATCGATCGTCCATTTGGGGAAATACGGTATGTGTTATCATAGCAGGTTGCCGTAAATTTGCGATGCTCTTTTTTCAAAATGTCTCCATTGTGTCGATGATGCTCGAAGCTTCCTGATGCAGGACGAGTAACTTGGCTATGCAAATAAATAGGTTTCATATTTCAGAAATAGCTGAGAGTAGAATCGAAAATTATTTATTGGTGCATTGTGCTGTATGTGCATTGAAATCCGAATCGTTAGAGAGCATTTGCGTTTAAATTTATATATAACTGTTTTGTTGTGTATGTCAAGAGGAGCTGTTGATCATTACTATACACGTATTACAACGCGGTGTCATTGTGGGGCCCTGCTCCGTTTGCGGTTGTACAAAGACTGGATCAAGCCTGTCCTTCAGTATGGCATGGCCCGGAATTTCACAATACGCGTGTCATATCTGTGTTCTGTTTGTTTGTTGTTTAACGCCGCGCTCAGCAATATTCCAGCTACATGACGGCTGTCTGTAAGTAATCGAGTCTGGACCAGACAAGACAGTGATTGACATCATGAGCATCGATCTACGCAGTTGGGATACGATGACGTGCATCAACCAAGTCAGAGAGCCTGACCACCCGATCCCATTAGTCGCCTCTTACGACAAGCATAGACGCCTTTTACGGCAAGCATGGTTTGCTGAAGACCTATTCTAACCCAGATCTTCATGGATCTATATGCGCTATAAGCGTACGTGACAAGGTACATATGAATGGGAGATTAAATACGAAAGAGATTTTTTTTAAATTTTATCATATTGATTATACTTTTTTAAAAGTCCCGTGCATTGTCTTGTGTGATTATACGCAATTGACAGAATCGGGGTTCTTTCTTAATAGGGGGTACGGGTGGCCCAGTCGTCTAAGGCACCGCGATTCGCTGTGCAGAGTTGCGTCCCTTGAGCTTGCCAGAAACCTGTGATTGTGGTTTCGAATCCCGATTCGCCCCTATTATGTTTCGGGGTTTGTCAGCACCATACCCGCGCTCGTGGGTTTCACCGAAGTGATAAACGTCTGAGACCTGCATCACCTGGGGCTTTCCTCCCACATTAAGCTGACACTTAAGCTGACCTGATATAACTAGAATAATATTAAAAGCGGCGTTAAACCCAACTCACTCACTCTTAATAGGATGCACGCACGCACGCACGCACGCACGCACGCACGCACGCACGCACAACTTCATCTGCATCCGGGTGTTGGGAATCAGCTGCGTACATGATAAACCTAGTGCGGCGGGTCACGTGATCAGTGGTGAACTTAATATTTCGTGGGATTAATGATAAGTTCAGTGGGGATTCCGCGATAATAGGACACTTGCATATGTCATGGTTTTCGTATGGCCTATTACGGTCAGCATCGGACCCCCTCCGTGGTCTAGTGGTTAGAGCGTCTGCTCGGAGTGCGGAGATGTCGGTGGTTCGATTCCCGGCCGCGTCAAACAGATTATACTTATTGGTACCTTGTCTGGCGTTCGACTTTAAGCGAATTAAACAAGGACTGGTCGGCTCGGAGTCAGTTAACATAAAGCAGAGTCGATGGTACTATATCATGAGCATGTGTTTATGAATCATTATCAAATAGTGATGATACCAGGTGTTCGCGTTTTAGTGTTCAGTGTTCAGGTTTTAGAGTCAAGTCAAAGGATGATAGTACTGTTGCATGGTTTTGGCAGATTGTTTCCTCAGCCTTATGTGTGGCATTTTTTTATTTGTCACTTCCACTATGACCAGGAATGTCCCGAATCGTCACGAAATGGAAATATTTTGTGTTCGTAGATATCCGTAGAAATATCTCAATCAATTCTCGAAGTCCGTAGTTGAATCCTATTTGATTCCCAGATATCCATGCAGTTCGCAGACGTTCGGGAAATCGTGGAAAAGTTTTTTGTTTGTCACAAACTTTCGTAGACATTCTTGATCGACCCGGCGTCTATTAGAGGCCCGGCTTCTATTTTTTGCACTGAACAATTGACCCGGCTTCTATTAGAGGCCGGCGTCTATTAGAATAGAGGAAATACGGTAACTGACGAAGGTTGTCATTGTCAACAACGGAGAAGTCACCTGTGATTATATGACCTACAGGTTGGTATCAGTATGATGAGTTTTGGCAGCCACAAGTAGTGGAGTTTACATCATGAACTGCCAAGACCACGTTCCGCAACACGTTCCTAGTATTGAACAACCTGGATTAAAATGTGTTCGTAGGAAAATGTTATTGGTGGTGGTTCCTGAAATTGGAAATATTTTGCCTGAGAATGTTACTTAAATTAAAGGTTTTAATTCCCTTGTTTGCGAATTTCAAATTCAAGAACATGCGGTCTTTGTCTGATTTAGCGGAGTCTGTTTCTGGTTTGGCCAAACGTTTCAAAGCCATATTAAGAATTATACTCTCCAGTCGATACTCGGGCATGAACATCGTTGTTTGAACAATAAATTAGCAGGGGTGAATTCTTCGGATCAGGGGTCTTAATAAAACACGATTTTATTGCTATGACTATTGTATAAAGTATTTGTAAAGACTTAGTGTGAGAAAAAGACAAGTATTTGATCTGCATACTTCATTCCAACACCAAGTACTCAATGTTGACTGCGTTTTCTGTGATTTTACGTCACTTCAAACATATCGTTTTGGGGTTTGTAAAGGGGAGGTAACTCCTGAGATACAGTTGTCATTTGAGCGCACCCCCCTACTTGTAGGTACAAAGTTCTATCTTGAATCTCATGACGGAGCATAGGTGTGTGACGACGGGGCGAGACGCTGGCCACACAGGTAAAGGCATGAAATAGTAACACTGCCACTAACGTTTGTAAAGTTTACCCGCTGGCACCATCCGTTTGTGAACGTTTTTGTGTACAATATATGTTATGAAACATCGAATATTCACTGTTATCTTACTTCTCAACTCTCTCTAAATGAGTTAAGCAGTCTAAGGGTTAATGGACGTGTGAATTATCCCCCGTTCCCTTTCATCGGCTGTTTACACTAAACATGGATACACTTACCTTGAGACACTTTTTACAAGTAGTGTCATAGTTTTTTTAATTTGAAAGACAGACAAGTTAGTCAGTAATGAGGTCAATGGCCCAAAATCAAAGTAACTCGTTATTGGCCAGTAAACAAAAATAAATATATCCGCTATTATAGGGGCATATATTTTTCTTTACTGACCTGTGCATTCTACATTATGATTTGCTTCCTGCAATAAACTTTGTTGAAAGGTACTTTTAAAACAAAAACATTCTAAGCCTTCCCTACAGGCACAGAAAACATCAAGGAATATATCATACACTCAGAAACGTATTCCTCATAATTAAGAAGTTGACATCCATAAATTCTCTCTTTATTTGTATCACTTCTAAATGCCATTTAAAGAATTAACCTGAATATGTGTGTCTTTTGGGCAAACAACTCAAACAAACCTAGAAACATAATTGGGGCGAACCGGGATTCGAACCCACAATCATAGGTTTCTTGCTTGCCCAAGGGACGCAACTCTGCACAGTGAATTGCGGCACCTTAGACGACTGGGCCACCCGTGCCCCCTCATGATTTAAAGTCAGTGTTTAAAATTTAAGAAATTACCAGGCTGCCATCAGGACCCACACCGGAGTTTGTAATATATTTCTTGACTGTGATTTACGTGGCTGTTTGTAGTGAGATGACCGACGCCTATCCAGTGTTAGTGACAGGGGGCTCTGGTTGCCTGGGGCAACACCTCATCAAACTCCTCCACACCCATGCTCCGCATGTAACAGAGATCCGAGTCTTAGACATGGCACCATTCACCAAAAAACTTGGTAGGCATTTACTGGTAACTACATCGTCAATACTTCACATGTTAGGTTGCCCTTGAATACATGCAGCTGTAGTGTGCCAGTACTGGGGAGTGTTCTGACCATCAACTCTCTGCTTACATAAGCAATATTTCTTTTACTCTTTCTCCAAGACCTAAAAAACTTACAAAAGGAGCCCAACTCAAGTCTAGAATGATTTGGCAAGTCTAGATTGCCTCAGCTCCAGGAAATTAAGGATTTTTCTGGGCTCCATTTGGATTTTATATATTTTTATTTTGTAGATATATTAATTTTAGATACGATCACTTTATTTCTGGGACAAAATGTTGGCCCTTATTTCTTGTACAAGCCATATGTAGGCCTGTATAGGGTTACAATGAAGAAGGCCCCAACCCCCTTCTCCCCTGAATCCCAAATACCATCTAATGTTTCACTCTGTCTCATTGTTCGCCCTGTATACTACATAACACAAATTTCAAAAGCAATGAATTGAAATTAAATTACTGAAATTTTTTTTTAAGAAATAATATAAAGGAGACTTTTACATACCCCATTATTTTTTTCAAAATGCAATTATATTTGCATCTCGCGTCCCACACTACCGAGTCCGGAATACCCACTAAATGGCCCCCCGAATACAGCATACTGAAAGGGGTTGGCAGCCTCAATGTGGAGTCCCTTTTACCATGGTTTTACTTCAGCCTCTATAGAGCAGACTGCCTCCGTGGTCTAGTGGTAGAGCGTCCGCCCGGAGACCATAAGGTCCGGGGTTCGAATCCTGGCCATGTCACACCAAAAAATGGCACTTGTTGTTACCCTGTCTGGCGCTCGGCATTAAGGGGCTAAAACAAGGACTGGTCGGCTCGGACACAGTATATAATGGGGTATTCATGTTAAACTGCGGCATGGTATCTCAGTGGCTAGCACTATAAATTTGCATCAGTCCGAACTAGTACAAACAGCCACACACACACACGTGCATGCACGTCGCTATATAAGTGCAATAATCTTGGACGCGACGTTATGTTTCACCTCGCCTCTAGAGAGCAATGAACTGGGGCTAGGCATTGTGTTACTGCATGTCCTGCAGACAGTGGGGATGGGTAACTCGACGACCCGGACCGTGGTCAGTCATGTGATATATTGTATAATGGCTTAACAATAGACAAATTGTTCGTAGTTACATCACCCTCAACCAGCTGTATTTTCTTGGAAAATATGGTATTTATTTATGATCTGAATGTGAATTATGTAGTCGATGAATATAATTTTAAAGGCTGGTATACAGCCGGTCATTTAGTAGGGAGTTGGGAGTCAGGTTGTACATTTGGATTCGGCTCCACCCCAGCTCACACTCAGTCTCAGTAAAATCAGACCTCAGTTCTCGCTACCGCTAAACAAAGATCTGAGGACATCCCATTACAGGTCACGTCAGAACGACCTTTCATCCGACCAATCAGAGCATCGCTTACCAGATTATGAAAGTGACAGTCGGAATGTGATTTTTGATCATGCAGCCTCGAAAACTCCGAACGATAGTTACAGGTTTAACGACTGAATCCATACAATCTAGACCATCTATTAGCCATCCCAGAATGTTCTTTTGTTCAGGTTTCAAATTTGTCAAAATATGTTTCGAAGCATAGTCGCCAATTTGAAATTTAGTGCCGTAAAGCACGAGAAAGCTGCCTTCTGATTGGTCATTCCATTGGTCTGTCAAAGTTCGCGCAAGGTCGGTCTGACATGACCCGTAATGGGATGTCCTCAGATTTTGTTTAGCAGTAGCAAGAACTAAGATCTGATGTTAATGAGATTGAGCTCACACTATCAAACACAGTTTTATCTGATGTGGGTGTGATAAGCTACCAGCTTGTTTGATGAACCTGTAATATTGAAAACTACAGAGCAGCACAAAAATATGTAACTCCCATATGAATGTAGTGTTGTTAGCATATATGTTATCTCCTGTACTGAATTGATTAGTTTGGCAATGTACTTGCCCACATGTTGTGATGTTGTCATGGCAATGGTATGTTTGTATCAGAGTATGAAGACAGAGTGCCGGTCACAAGCATCACTGCAGACATCGGGGAGTTAACCGACACATCGCCGTTCCAAGGAGTGAAGACGGTGTTCCATCTTGCCTCCATCATCAGTGTCAGCAACTTCCCTGACATTGCCAAAATGGAGAGGGTTAATGTGAAAGGTGGGTCTTGGGGTGATGAGGGTGTACGAGATTGCGGTGGGGCTGAGACAGGTAATGTTTGAATGACAGGTAGGGAGTGAAGTGGGTTAAGAAGGATGGGGTGGTGTGTGGTGATGGTGAAGTGGGTCAGGGAAGATGGGGTGGTGTGTGGTGGTGAAATGGGTTAGGGAAGATGGGGTGGCGTGGGGTGGTGGTGAAGTGGGTCAGGGAAGATGCGGTGGCGTGGGGTGGTGGTGAAGTGGGTTGAGGAAGATGGGGTGGGGTGGGGAAGTGAGGAAGTGGGTTGAGGAAGATGGGGTGGGGTGGGGAAGTGAGGAAGTGGGTTGAGGAAGATGGGGTGGGGTGGGGAAGTGATGAAGTGGTTTGCGGAAGACAGGGTGGGGTGGGATGGTGGTGAAGTTGGTCAGGGAAGGTGGGGTGGGGTGGTGGTGAAATTGGTCAGGGAAGATGGGGTGGCATGGGGCGGTGGTGAAGTGGTTCAGGGAAGGTGGGGTGGGGTGGGGTGGTGGTGAAGTGGGTCAGGGAAGATGGGGTGGCGTTGGGCGGTGGTGAAGTGGGTCAGGGAAGACAGGGTGGCGTGGGATGGTGGTGAAGTTGGTAAGGGAAGAAGGGGTGGCGTGGGGCGGTGGTTAAGTGGGTCAGGGAAGATGGGGTGGCATGGGATGGTGGTGAAGTGGGTCAGGGAAGACAGGGTGGCGTGGGGCGGTGGTGAAGTTGGTAAGGGAAGAAGGGGTGGCGTGGGGCGGTGGTGAAGTGGGTCAGGGAAAATGGGGTGGCGTGGGATGGTGGTGAAGTGGGTCAGGGAAGACAGGGTGGCGTGGGATGGTGGTGAAGTTGGTAAGGGAAGAAGGGGTGGCGTGGGGCGGTGGTTAAGTGGGTCAGGGAAGATGGGGTGGCATGGGATGGTGGTGAAGTGGGTCAGGGAAGACAGGGTGGCGTGGGGCGGTGGTGAAGTTGGTAAGGGAAGAAGGGGTGGCGTGGGGCGGTGGTGAAGTGGGTCAGGGAAAATGGGGTGGCGTGGGATGGTGGTGAAGTGGGTTAGGGAAGATGGGGTGGCGTGGGGCGGTGGTGAAGTGGGTAAGGGAAGATGGGGTGGTGTGGGATGGTGGTGAAGTGGGTCAGGGAAGACAGGGTGGCGTGGGATGGTGGAGAAGTGGGTCAGGGAAGATGGGGTGGCGTGGGGCGGTGGTGAAGTTGGTCAGGGAAGATGGGGTGGCGTGGGATGGTGGTGAAGTGGGTCAGGGAAGATGGGGTGGCATGGGGCGGTGGTGAAGTGGGTCAGGGAAGATGGGGTGGCGTGGGGCGGTGGTGAAGTGGGTCAGGGAAGACAGGGTGGCGTGGGATGGTGGTGAAGTGGGTCAGGGAAGATGGGGTGGCGTGGGGCGGTGGTGAAGTGGGTCAGGGAAGAAGGGGTGGCGTGGGGCGGTGGTGAAGTTGGTCAGGGAAGATGGGGTGTCGTGGGATGGTGGTGAAGTGGGTCAGGGAAGATGGGTAGGCGTGGGGCGGTGGTGAAGTTGGTCAGGGAAGATGGGGTGGCGTGGGATGGTGGTGAAGTGGGTCAGGGAGGATGGGGTGGCGTGGGGCAGTGGTGAAGTGGGTCAGGGAAGACAGGGTGGCGTGGGATGGTGGTGAAGTTGGTAAGGGAAGAAGGGGTGGCGTGGGGCGGTGAAGTGGGTCAGGGAAGATGGGGTGGCGTGGGATGGTGGTTAAGTGGGTCAGGGAAGATGGGGTGGCGTGGGGCGGTGGTGAAGTTGGTCAGGGAAGACAGGGTGGCGTGGGATGGTGGTGAAGTTGGTAAGGGAAGAAGGGGTGGCGTGGGGTGGTGGTGAAGTGGGTCAGGGAAGATGGGGTGGCGTGGGATGGTGGTGAAGTGGGTCAGGGAAGACAGGGTGGCGTGGGATGGTGGTGAAGTGGGTCAGGGAAGATGGGGTGGCGTGGGGCGGTGGTGAAGTTGGTAAGGGAAGAAGGGGTGGCGTGGGGCGGTGGTGAAGTGGGTCAGGGAAGATGGGGTGGCGTGGGATGGTGGTGAAGTGGGTCAGGGAAGATGGGGTGGCGTGGGGCGGTGGTGAAGTTGGTAAGGGAAGAAGGGGTGGCGTGGGGCGGTGGTGAAGTGGGTCAGGGAAAATGGGGTGGCGTGGGATGGTGGTGAAGTGGGTCAGGGAAGATGGGGTGGCGTGGGGCGGTGGTGAAGTGGGTCAGGGTAGATGGGTTGGTGTGGGATGGTGGTGAAGTGGGTCAGGGAAGACAGGGTGGCGTGGGATGGTGGAGAAGTGGGTCAGGGAAGATGGGGTGGCGTGGGGCGGTGGTGAAGTTGGTCAGGGAAGATGGGGTGGCGTGGGATGGTGGTGAAGTGGGTCAGGGAAGATGGGGTGGCGTGGGGCGGTGGTGAAGTGGGTCAGGGAAGATGGGGTGGCGTGGGGCGGTGGTGAAGTGGGTCAGGGAAGACAGGGTGGCGTGGGATGGTGGTGAAGTGGGTCAGGGAAGAAGGGGTGGCGTGGGGCGGTGGTGAAGTGGGTCAGGGAAGAAGGGGTGGCGTGGGGCGGTGGTGAAGTTGGTCAGGGAAGATGGGGTGGCGTGGGATGGTGGTGAAGTGGGTCAGGGAAGATGGGGTGGCGTGGGGCGGTGGTGAAGTTGGTCAGGGAAGATGGGGTGGTGTGGGATGGTGGTGAAGTGGGTCAGGGAAGACGGGTGGCGTGGGATGGTGGTGAAGTGGGTCAGGGAAGATGGGGTGGCGTGGGGCGGTGGTGAAGTGTTAAGGGAAGATGGGGTGGCGTGGGGTGGTGGTGAAGTGGGTCAGGGAAGATGGGTTGGTGTGGGATGGTGGTGAAGTTGGTCAGGGAAGACAGGGTGGCGTGGGATGGTGGTGAAGTGGGTCAGGGAAGATGGGGTGGCGTGGGGTGGTGGTGAAGTGGGTCAGGGAAGAAGGGGTGGCGTGGGGCGGTGGTGAATCGGGTTAGGGAAGATGGGGTGGTGTGTGGTGGTGGTGAAGTTGGTTGATGCATGTCATCATATCACAGTTGCATAGATCGATGCTCATGATATCAATCACTGGATTGTCTGGTCCAGACTTATTTACAGACAGCTGTCATATAGCTGGAATATTGCTGAGTGCGGCGTTAAACAACAAACAAACAAATACACAAATATATACCAGGTGACATGTGTAATGCTGTGTGCTTCAGTGATAAAACAATCTCATGCACACAGGCACCAAGAACATACTGGAGGCCTGTCTCAGTGCAGGGGTTGAGCGCATGGTGTACTGCAGCACCGTCGATGTTGTATGCGGCTTCAGCAACATCGTGGATGGCACAGAGGACACAACTAGACCCCCAGGGCGACTGCTATATGAGGGCTACGGTGGCACCAAACTCAGGGCCGAGGAAGCAGTTCTCGCCTCCAATGGCCAACCCTTGCAGTCAGGTACTGTAGCGGAGATTTGTGTCTTCTTCGTCTCTTCTTCCCAGTTTGGGACCGGTCATTTATTAGAGGGGATGTTGAGTCAGAGAGAATCAGAGGGTCACCAAGATATATGACAGTCTCTAGGGGAGGGTCATAAAAAATAATACATATATTTGGGGCGGGTCATAATATATGGACATTTTAATATAATAGTGTGAGTGAGTTAGTATCGTTTTATGCCTCTCTTAGCTATATTCCAGAAACATCACAGCAGGGGACAGAGATGGGCTTTACACATTGTACCCATGATGGGAATCAAACCTGGGTCTTTTGCGTGACTAGCGAATGGTTTAACCACAAGGCTACCCGACCGCCCTCTTTCAGGGGGGGTCATTAAAATGTGGAGGGTTATCCAAAAATATGCATTAGGGGAGGGTTATTATTTTCAGTACATCAGCACATCAAATCCTCTATCCGCCCGACCCATGCTTGTCGTAAAAGGCGACTAACGGGATCGGGTGGTCAGGCTCGCTGACTTGGTTGATGCACGTCATCGTATCCCAACTGCGTAGATCGATGCTCATGATGTCAACCACTGTCTTGTCTGGTCCAGATTCGATTATCTACAGACAGCCGTCATGTAGCTGGAATATTGCTGAGCGCGGCGTTAAACAACAAACAAACATAGCACAGATATGACACGCGTATTGTGAAATGCCTGGCCATGCCATACTGATGGACAGGTTTTGATCCAGTCCACAGAACAACGTCCTCTCTTTGTACAACCGCTGGGCTGGGAGCTGGGCCCCACAATGACACCGCGTTGTAATACGTGTATAGTAATGATCAACAGCTCCTCTTGACATACACAACAAAACAGTTATATATAAATTTAAACGCAAATACTCGTCTCTAACGATTCGGATTTCAATGCACATGCAGAACAATGCACCAATAAATGATTTTCGATTTCTGAAATATGAAACCTATTTAATTGCATAGCCAAGTGACTCGTCCGGCATCAGGAAGCTTCGAGCATCATCGACACAATGGAGACATTTTGAAAAAAGAGCATCGCGGGGATCAATGCTCATGATATCAATCACTGGATTGTCTGGTCCAGACTTGATTATTTACAGACCGCAATCATATAGCTGGAATATTGCTGAGTGCGGCGTTAAACAACAAACCAATCTATCCGCCCGACGCACCTCACACCCCTGGAACTTTCTGTGGTTCCATTTACTCAACTTAATTGATGTCATCCTTGTGGAAGAATATACTTCACTAATTCTAAAATATATCCGAGCAATATTTTTAACTATTTTCCACACTGTCAAAAGCTTAATTAAGATGAAGTTTTTGCTTTCTACTTGTCAACATGAAGAATGGAATTGTGAATGTTTCTACAGGTGGGAGATTCCAGGTGGTGACTCTACGACCCACTGTATTCTATGGAGAGCTGGACGCCCACTACATCCCTTCAGTGCTACGGACGGCAAACCGTAATGGCGGAGTGTTGGTTCAGATTGGCAACGGATCAGCTCTCTATCAGCACACCTACGTCGGCAATGTGGCCTGGGCATTCGTCTGTGCTGACCGGACTCTCAAATCAGTGACAGGGGAGGGGGACATCTCGGGACAAGTCTACTTCATCACCGATGACTGCCCACCATGCAGCTTGCCGGATCAGGTCCTCCCCTTCCTCGTGGGCAGAGGATTCCGTCTCTCCACATACAGAGTACCCTTCTCACTTGTGTACTCCGCACTTTTGTTCACACAGGGGCTGTTGTGGCTTATATCACCCCTAACTAAGGTTGATCTTGGCTTCTCGGCTCTTTCGCTTCGGTACGCCAACATGACCTTGACCTTCAAGAGCAAGAAAGCAAGACTTAAACTGGACTACTCCCCTTTGTTCACACCAGAGGAGTCGATAGTCCAGGCCAACGACTACTATTCCAAACTCACATTGACATGACGTGGAGAACTTAATACTGGAAACCTTCACTTGACCTCAAGAACAAGCAGGATGCTCATCTGAACAGTCAAAGTCAGATAATGAATGATGAATCCCCTTGGGATGATAAAGTCTAAACATATCTTAATAAGTCACCATTTGCCAATTAGTTTAGACTTAGAAATATTTACAAATATGCATGAAAAATAATTAAAATAATAAAAAAATATTTAAAAACTTAATTAGTTTACCAACACTGGGCATGATTACCATATGTAGCCTCTTTAGCTTTTTTTACCCTGTATTATTTTACAGATATTTACTTAATGATTGACGACATTTATACATGAAATCAACTGCAGTTAATAATGCACAAAAGCACTTTGTCTCACTGACTGTTACTTAGGCATGTATGTCCCTGTTGAGCTTACAAGTTACACATTTGGGGCAGCACATGAACAGATACAAATTATATTGGACTTATCATTGGACTGTACCCAAGGGAGTAAAAATATATTGAATGCCCAAAGAATGTGAATGATAATATGAGTAAATACTAAATGGCTGAATATCTGGAGCCCTGCACAATGTTGACAGAGACGTTTTGAGAAGACCTTGACCTTGACCCCAAGAACAAACAGGGATACTCATTTGAACATTGGCCACCAATGCCAACAGTTCTAAGATCTTCACCTTGACCTTGACCTCAAGAACAAACAGGGATACTCATTTGAACATTGGCCACCAATGCTTACAGTTCTAAGACCCTAATTGACATTCAACTTGCCCTTGACCTCAAGAACAAGCAGGGATACTCATTTGAACATTGGCCACCAATGCTTACAGTTCTAAGACCCTAATTGACATTCAACTTGCCCTTGACCTCAAGAACAAGCAGGGATACTCATTTGAACATTGGCCACCCATGCCAACAGTTCTAAGACCTTCACCTTGACCTTGACCTCAAGAACAAACAGGGATACTCATTTGAACATTGGCCACCAATGCTTACAGTTCTAAGACCCTAATTGACATTCAACTTGCCCTTGACCTCAAGAACAAGCAGGGATACTCATTTGAACGTTGGCCACACAATGACAGCAGTTCTAAGACCCTAATTGACATTCAACTTGCCCTTGACCTCAAGAACAAGCAGGGATACTCATCTGAACATTGGCCACCAATGCCAACAGTTCTAAGACCTTCACCTTGACCTTGACGTCAAGAACAAACAGGGATACTCATTTGAACATTGGCCCCCAATGCCAACAGTTCTAAGACCCTAATTGACATTCAACTTGCCCTTGACCTCAAGAACAAGCAGGGATACTCATTTGAACGTTGGCCACACAATGACAGCAGTTCTAAGACCCTAATTGACATTCAACTTGCCCTTGACCTCAAGAACAAGCAGGGATACTCATTTGAACATTGGCCACCAATGCCAACAGTTCTAAGACCTTCACCTTGACCTTGACGTCAAGAACAAACAGGGATACTCATTTGAACATTGGCCCCCAATGCCAACAGTTCTAAGACCCTAATTGACATTCAACTTGCCCTTGACCTCAAGAACAAGCAGGGATACTCATTTGAACGTTGGCCACACAATGACAGCAGTTCTAAGACCCTAATTGACATTCAACTTGCCCTTGACCTCAAGAACAAGCAGGGATACTCATTTGAACATTGGCCACCAATGCCAACACTTCTAAGACCTTCACCTTGACCTTGACCTCAAGAACAAACAGGGATACTCATTTGAACATTGGCCACCAATGCTTACAGTTCTAAGACCCTAATTGACATTCAACTTGCCCTTGACCTCAAGAACAAGCAGGGATACTCATTTGAACGTTGGCCACACAATGACAGCAGTTCTAAGACCCTAATTGACATTCAACTTGCCCTTGACCTCAAGAACAAGCAGGGATACTCATTTGAACATTGGCCACCAATGCCAACAGTTCTAAGACCTTCACCTTGACCTTGACCTCAAGAACAAACAGGGATACTCATTTGAACATTGGCCACCAATGCTTACAGTTCTAAGACCCTAATTGACATTCAACTTGCCCTTGACCTCAAGAACAAGCAGGGATACTCATTTGAACATTGGCCACCAATGCCAACAGTTCTAAGACCTTCACCTTGACCTTGACGTCAAGAACAAACAGGGATACTCATTTGAACATTGGCCCCCAATGCCAACAGTTCTAAGACCCTAATTGACATTAAACTTGCCCTTGACCTCAAGAACAAGCAGGGATACTCATTTGAACATTGGCCACCAATGACAGCAGTTCTAACATCTTCACCTTCACCTTGACCTCAAGACAAAGCAGGGATACTCATTTGAACATGGGCCACACAATGGCAGCAGTTCTAAGACCTTCACCTTCACCTTGACCACAAGAACAAGCAGGGATGCTGACAGCAGAGCATAATATACATGTTACGTAGATAAACATCACTAAATCATTAGGCGATACGTTGTCAACAAAAATAACATGACCAAACAGATTGTTTTGCAAATTATTTGATTCATCCACCATGATGTATGTTAAGTGCACTTCCTGTTCCGAAGAAGATGTTTTGATATGGTGAGGACTGTTGACAGAGGGGTCATACCGTATCATATAGTGTAGGTTTCGTATCATAGTTGACATTTCGTACCACAGTTGACATTAATGTTATTTTGTCATTTTTGTTCACAGCATTCATAATAATTATACATATATGTGATGAAGAAAACGTGTACCATTAATCAACTCTATTTAGCTTTAATTGATGCAGTGATTCAGGGTGGTTGGGTAGCCTCGTGGTTAAAGTGAGTGCTCATCATGCCAAAGGCCCGGGTTCGATTCCCCACATGAGTATACTGTCTGAAGCCATGTATGGTGTCCCTGTAGTGAAATTGCTGGAATATTGCTAAAAGCGGTAAAAGACACACTCACCCCGATATAATCCCCCAAGTCCCAAGTGTTTTCATTAAGGACTCCTGATGGTCAGTCTTTGGGTCTTCTACAGATTCAAATTTGCAACTCATATTTTTACGTCTTTTTATTGAACATTGACCCTCAAATTTTCTGTTTGAAAAAGTTTTAGAACCCATGAATACTAGACATGGGTGTCACTGAAATCTGGTTATCCTGTCCTTACTTGATAATTCACATGACATTGTTAATAAGTAAAATGTTCAGCTTAAAAAGTAGCTTTGTTAATACTTTACTGGATAATTTTTAGTCATATAGGTTTATTTTTACATATATATTTTAATATATTTATGACTGTTATATATTGAGCTGTTGTATAAAATACTTTGTGACCTTTAATGACAATTCCAATAAAACATACTTTATAATTCAGAAGTTGTTTGATAATACGGCAATAAAGGTATGATCATTTTTTTCTGACCAGGTTAGTGTCATACCTCAGACAGCTCCTTCTCCTGTGGTCAATAGTTTGTCTGCTCCAGGACTGACTACAATGACATATCTTAATATTTCTGACAATATTGATATATCTGAACCATCATTGTCTGACAACAATGTAAGTTAATCACTAATGGTTCATTTATCTATCATCTTTATGGATCATGTATTCTTAGAGCATGGTACATTACCATACACATGATGGCGACCCGTGAAGATCCGGGGTAGAATAGATCTTCAGCAACCCTTGCTTGCCATAAAAGGAGACTATGCTTGTCGTAAGAGGCAACTAGTGGGATCGGGTGGTCAGGCTCGCTGACTTGGTTGATGCATGTCATTGTATCCCAATTGCGTGGATCGATGCTCATGATGTCAATCACTTGATAGTCTGGTCCAGACTTGATTATTTTTAGATCAACGTCATATAGCTGGAATATTGCTGAGTGCGGCGTAAAACAACAAACAAGACAAAAACAACAACAATTAGATATCTGAACCAACATTTTTCTCCCTTGCCAAACAAGTCTCAAATTTCTGAGCTCGATCGTAGCGCCATCTGTGGCTATTTCGAGTTCTATGTCCCTCCTATTGACTAATTAGATTCAACCTGTCATCTCGATTGCTTCAAAATAAATGGCATTACCCAATGAAGACAATCTGATTGATAATCAAGATCTATACTGTAATATATAGCGAAATGCATCAAATCACGTCAGCACCTTCATTATAGACATGAAAAGAATTGGAAAATATCTGTTGACGCCTAGTTGACCATACACATGCTTTGCAAATCGAGCAATCGACCGAAATGTACATGGCAGTTTAGGAACCAGTTGTCAATTTCGTCACACGATTTGATTGGACTTTGCATAGACTCGTTCGTCCAGCCATAACTCCATAATTCCAGCCTAATTCGGCAAGGGAGACTTTTATAGTCAGTTAACTCCCTTGCCTCGGAGAGATGACTAATAGTTGATAGATCAGAACTTATCCACACTCAAGGATTCAAGCAGGGAGATTCCTGACAAACAACAGAGGACAAGAGTTCAGTTTTGTGCTATTTTATTGCATATTTGGTTGAGTCTGTAATACAGAGACATAAATACACCGAAGGTTGTGTGGCTGTACAGAGTGCTCTCCCCTTGGACATGGGAGGCACAACACAGTATATATTTCATATACACATGCTTGTATCACTGACTGTGTGACGTAGTCAATATTCACACATTAGGGCGGATTATAGAGATGAACACAGATATCTAGTACAGACAGACAGACAGACAAACACTTGGACAGGGAGCAGGACAATACGTGGTGAAAGTGACAATATTCATAAAATAGATGTAAGTTACACATGACTCTGGTTTACTGGCTACTGACTCTGGATACGGGGTACTGGATCTGGCTTGTCCCATCACAGGGCTTTATTTGCCACCTACAGCACCTACAGATATGTCAGTAACAAAGATGAAGTACCTTTAGACTAACATTAAATGGCTGTTTCAACACTAGTAGCCTTGTTGTAAAACTGCATAGGGCTTGAAACACTATAAAGTTGGGTATGACACCAGATTGTTTCTTGTGTAAAAAATCATACTGGACGAGTGAGTTTAACACCTCAGTATTGCAGTTACATCATGGTGTGTCAGCTTGATGCGGGTAGGAAGTTTGAAGTGAGGCAAGTCTCGGGCGTTTACCACTTTGCTAAAACACACGAAAAAGGATGTGGTGCTGACAAACCTAGAAATAACCAGGGAGAACTAGGGTTAAACCCATGACCGCAGGCTTGTAGCATGTATAAGGGAGGCAACTCTGCAAAACGAATTGTAGTGTCTTAGATGACTGGCCTACCCCCTGCTCCCACGCATCATGAAACACGATTCTGACAACTAAGGTTTGTTTCAAGGCATCAATAGTGGTAATTTGATCGTGGTTGATGTAATTAATGGAAATTGTGTGATCACTTTGTATCACCAGATAGTGAAATAAGAGGAGCAACTTAAATACTTACTTGTCGACATGCTATTTCCAGTGTTACGTGCATTAAAAGAACTTTTACACCAAGGAGCTTATTGTAAAGTGATATGACTTAGTAATATGACTCCCTGCAATCTGAATAAAATCACATATTTTACACCAATATGGACCATAGGTCACATTAGGTGAATTTTCTTATCTGCCAATCAGCATCGAGGCTGAAATATGGCTCCATATATTGCAATGGGGCTCAATATATTCCCAGAGGCCGTAATATAACCCTACATGGTTCAATGTTATGCCAGAGCTCATTGTAATGCCATATGAACACTGGGCTCATTGTAATGCCACAGGGTTCAATGTAATGCCAGAGCTCAGGTGGAAACCAATATGGCTCATTGATATTGAAATGCCATGGGGCTCAATGTAATGCCAGAGCTCAATTGGGACCTAATATGGCTCATTGTAATGCCACAGTGTTCAATGTAATGTCAGAGCTCAATTGGAACCCAATATGGCTCATTGTAACACCACAGGGTTCAATGTAATGCCAGAGCTCAATTGGAACCATATATGGCTCATTGAAACACCACAGGGTTCAATGTAATGCCAGAGCTCAGTTGGAACCTAATATGGCTCATTGATATTGAAATGCTAGGGACTCAATGTAATGCCAGAGCTCAATTGGGACCTAATATGGCTCATTGTAATGCCACAGGGTTCAATGTAATGCCAGAGCTCAATTGGGACCTAATATGGCTCATTGTAATGCCACAGGGTTCAATGTAATGCCAGAGCTCAATTGGAACCCCAAATGGCTCATTGATTTTGAAACGCCATGGAGCTCAATGTAATGCCAGAGCTCAGTTGGAACCCAATATGGCTCATTGAAACCCAATGAGGTTCAATGTAATGTCTTATGACTACGACAGCACTGGGTCATTTTAATACCTATTCCACCAGGTGCATGGACTCCAGAACTCATCATGACCAATAATATATTACTCTCATCACTACCTGCTTGACGACGTTTGGTTGACACCCTGGAGATTGATGTCAACAAGTCCCACATTGACACACACAGACTATTGAACGTATTGCTTCACAACATACAGACATACACACAGACTCGTAGACACACACAAACTCTTAAAGAGCTGGGCCCACTTGCACAAAGCGATCTTAGGGCTCAGATGATCGTAACTCCCATACTTTAGCATAGGCTTACAAAAGTCTTAGCGCTAAGATCGCTTTGTGCAAGTGGGCCCTGGACTATGTACAAAAATTATAAATACCTTCATGAACAATGCGTCAACTGTATGCTGTCTACAATTTGACAACTAGAAAATCATGACTCAGCACACAGACATTTGAATGGCAACCATGCTTAGCACAGGAACAGAACACTTGAGATGGCAACATGGCTTGGAGCAGGAACATTATATACGTGGATGCCACATAGCCTTGACACAGAACAGAAATTTAAGGACGGCAACATGGCTTAGCAGCAGAAAGCAATCTGGTGTGGCAACACTGCTTAGCATAGGAAGAAGAAAAGTGAGCATGGCTTTGTAACAATGAGGGCACCACAGCTTACCACGGTGACAAAACATTGGCTGCACCATCACATGGCGCAGGAACTAGACACTAGGGGCACCACGGCTTAGCACAGCGATAAACATTGGTGTCGTAATGTCAGAGGACAGGAACTAAATACTAGGGGCACCAAGGCTTAGCAGTGGGACAAACATTGGCTGCACCATCACATGGTGCAGGAACTAGATACTAGGGGCACCACGGCTTAGCACAGCGACAAACATTGGTGTCGTAATGTCAGAGGACAGGAACTAGACACTAGGGGCACCACGCCTTAGCACAGTGACAAACATTAGTGTCACGACTTCATAGGACAGGAACTAAACATTAGACGGCTTAGCACAGCAGCAACTATTGGTGTCACAATGGCAGAGGACAGGAACTAGACACTAGGGGCACCATGGTTTAGCACAGCGACAAACATTAGTGTCATGATGGCAGAGAACAGGAACTAGACATGAGCGGTACCACAGCTTAGCACAGCGACAAACATTGGCGTCATGATGGCAGAGAACAGGAAATAGACACTAGGGGCACCATGGCTTAGCACAGGGACAACCATTGGTGTCATAATGTCAGAGGACAGGAACTAAATACTAGGGGCACCACGGTTTAGCACTGGGACAAACATTGGTGTCACGATGGCAGAGGACAGGAACTAGACACGTGGGGCACCACGGCTTAGCACTGGGACAAACATTGGTATCATGATGGAAGAGGACTGGAACTAGACACTAGGGGCACCACGGCTTAGCACAGCGACAAACATTGGTGTCATGATGGCAGAGGACAGGAACTAGACACTAGGGGCTCCACGGCTTAGCACAGGGACAAACATTGGTGTCATAATGTCAGAGGGAAGGAACTAGACATTAGACGGCTTAGCACAGCAACAAACATTGGTGTCACGATGGCAGAGGACAGGAACTAGACACTAGGGGCACCACGGCTTAGCACAGGGACAAACATTGTTGTCAGGAAGTTAGACTGAGAAGAAGGATGGAAGAAGCAGATGGATGCAGCTACTGCAAAGCAGTTTTTCACTAGACACTAGACACTAGGGGCACCACGGCTTAGCACAGGGACAAACATTGGTGTCATGATGGCAGAGGACAGGAACTAGACACGAGGGGCACCATGGCTTAGCAAAGGGACAAACATTGGTGTCAAGATGGTAGACGGAAGAAACTAGACATTAGGGGCACCACGGCTTAGCACAGGGACAAACATTGGTGTCATGATGGCAGAGGACAGGAACTACATTAGGGGCATCACAGCTTAGCACAGGGACAAGCATTGGTGTCACGATGGCAGAGGACAGGAACTAGACACTAGGGGCTCCACGGCTTAGCACAGCGACAAACATTGGTGTCACAATGGCAGAGGACAGGAACTAGACACTAGGGGCACCACGGCTTAGCACAGCGACAAACGTTGGTGTCACGATGGCATAGGACAGGAACTAGACACGAGGGGCTCCACGGCTTAGCACAGGGACAAACATTGGTGTCATAATGTCAGAGGGAAGGAACTAGACATTAGACGGCTTAGCACAGCAACAAACATTGGTGTCACGATGGCAGAGGACAGGAACTAGACACTAGGGGCACCACGGCTTAGCACAGGGACAAACATTGGTGTCAGGAAGTTAGACTGAGAAGAAGGATGGAAGAAGCAGATGGATGCAGCTACTGAAAAGCAGTTTTTCAGATATACTTTAGAACTGATCAGCAACCAAGATTTAACAAAGTGAGGTCTTTGAGCAGGCTGATGAATTTATACACTAATAAATGCAGCTGTGAAAAGGAGAAAAACATATTCCACATAAATAGCAGGCACCTACTCTTGAACATACAATGGCTGATTGGGAAACCAACGACTGGGTTCAAAAGCTCTTAGTGATATTCCAGCAATATTTCAGAAATATAACAGCAATATCACAGCAATATTCCAGCAATATCAGAGCAGGGGACACCAATGGGCTTCACACTTTGTGCCCATGTAGGGAAAAGAACCCAGAACTTCGGTATGACAAACAATCCCTTCAACCATGAGGCTACCCTACTTCCCCTCATGGCTGACGAGGTGGACACATCTATTACTGCTGACACAGGCACACACTATTTACAAACACAAGCAGCAGCAACAACACAATGAGTGTGTTTAACACAATGTCAACAATTATGTAAAAAATAATCATACAACAAGATGGAATATATGAATAAAATCCAAGAGACATTAGAGAATGGTAACACACCTTGAAGTCAAAAACATGTAGAACAGTAGCTGTGGTAACCATATCTGTGATGTTTCCCATAAATGACTTTGATATTGATACTTGTTGCTACACAGAGTTCCGGGCTGTTCTCATAGTGTTTTCCTATTTGGTTCCAGATTCGGAACACACTGCACTAACCTCCTGGCCATAATGAACACAAGCCATCATCCCACGAAATCTGCAACACAGTTCCCTTCCTAAGCATCTTCCCGAGGCAAGAGAGTTAACTGACTATAAGAGTCCAGTTTCCACCCTTTCCGAACTTGGCGGGAATTCCTCGGCTCAATCGTAGCGCCACCAGTGGCTATTACGACCATTCTATTCTATGCCTCTCCCATATGGACCAATCAGATTCCACCTCTCGTATAACATGCATTTGTTTCAAACAAAATGGTGGCACCCAGTCAAGACGATCTGATCGACCACCAAGATCTATTTTGTGGTAAAACGGTTCTTACTTCGCGAAGTACATCAAATCACGTGAGCACCTTGATTAAAAACATGAAAAGATTTGGAAAATATCTGTTGACAACGAGTTGGCGATGCACATGCTTTGCAAATCCTGCAATCGACCGAACTCTACATGACAGTTTACGAACCGGATTTCGATTTCGGTGCGCGATTTTGATTGGACTATGCATAGACTCGTTAGCCCAGCCAAAATGTAACTCCATAATACCAGCCTAGTTCGGCAAGGGTGGAAACTGGACTTTTATAGTCAGTTACTCACTTGCCTCGGGAAGATGCTTCCTAAGACACTTTCCTTGAAATGTGTGTACTCATATTTTTTACTTCCTGTGTACTCATCGGTTTGGAATAATTGAGAGAGTACAGATTTTTTAATGCCATTGCTGAGCTAACTGGCGGATAAAAATCTTTATGAGTCCGGTTTCAAACTTAAGTAAATATTTGTTGTTAGATTACAACACATGCACTTGGCTGAAGCATATACAGTATGATGCAGATTTACATTGGGAACCTATTCGGAAAACACTATGGAACAGCCTGAAGCTCTGTGTACTGACAAGTCAAAATCCAAATCTTCAATAGGGAGCAGCAGGGAGATATGGTTACCACAGCTAGGTGGACAGCACATCAGCTACTCTGACAGTTGAACTGTTGTACATTTGGCAGCTGAAACTGTTTTAGATATTTTTGTTGATGGCACATATAGTACTATACAAATGTACTATTGATAGTTGAACTGTTGATGTACATTTGACAGTTAAACCGCAGTTGTAGATTTCACAGTTTAACAGCTGTTGCACATTTGACAGTTAAACAGTTGTTGCACATTTGACAGTTAAACAGCTGTTGCACATTTGACAGTTAAACAGCTGTTGCACATTTGACAGTTAAACCGCTGTTGCACATTTGACAGTTAAACCGCTGTTGTACATTTGACAGTTAAACCGCTGTTGTACATTTGACAGTTAAACCACTGTTGCACATTTGACAGTTAAACAGCTGTTGCACATTTCGCAGTTAAACCACAGTTGCACATTTGACAGTTAAACCGCTTTTGCACATTTGACAGTTTAAACGCTGTTGCACATTTGACAGTTAAACAGCTGTTGCACATTTGACAGTTAAACAGCCATTGTACATTTGACAGTTAAACCGCTGTTGTACATATGACAGTTAAACAGCTGTTGCACATTTGACAGTTAAACTGCTGTTGCACATTTGACAGTTAAACCGCTGTTGCACATTTCACAGTTAAACAGCTGTTGCACATTTCACAGTTAAACTGCTTTTGCACATTTAACAGAGAAACAGCTGTTGCACAATTCACAGTTAAACCGCTGTTACACATTTCACAGGTGAAGCGATGCTATACTGATCTAGGTGAACTGCCGTTGCATTAGTGAAAGTTCAACTGCCCTCGTACTGATAACAGTTGAACTGCTATATCTTCGTGACCACAGAAGGAACTGGCAAGATCTTAATGGCAAGGTGTGACCAGCTGAGCTAAGCCTGGGCAACAGGGCAGGATGTGGTACAGTTTGACTGTGACCAGGGATCGTCAAGCTAACACAAGTAACCTGAAGGGTTGATTGGAACACATTTGGTGTCAGTAGCTACTAAAAAACTGCTGCCAAGATACCCAGGGCTGGATGTAGATGCACATGGTCAACTTGTTGTCATGGCAACACAGGACTATGTAGTCTTTGCCGCTGCTTCACGCAGGGATCGCGGTTCCAGCTTGTCTTCGAGATAGTTGTCCACAAATAATGTGGCAGATTCTGGTGTGATGGGTTCGGAGCAGACGTAGACTTGCTGGTTTGGTAGGTCAAGGATGACCAGAAGAGGACTTTGGTCATCAAGGTGGGCAAAGTCTCGCACTTGGTCACAGAACTCGTCCTGAAACACAGGCAACGCAGTTAGCAACATGTCAAACAGTAGCTCACAGGATGGACAGTAGCTCACAGGATGGACAGTAGATCACAGGATGGACGGTAGATCACAGGATGGACAGTAGATTGATCACAGGATAAATATTATCTCAGGATCCACATGGAAAAACAACCCTCATGATATCGACATATATCTCATATCCTGATCTGATATAACATTCAAAAATAAGCTACAGATCATATATTTTACGGCCTGCTGTGGTATAACACACTACAAAACATGAGCATAATGCAAAAATAGAAACATAGAAACATCAAACATGAAATACCGTATTCGATGTAATAAGCGCCCAGGGCGCTCTCAAAATTAGAAATAGGGGGCTCTTATTAGAATAGTATTTTGGTGAGAAAAAAAACAGAGTAGAAAGATAAATTTCGCGATTTATGCTGACAGCCTGAAATGTTTATATACGACAGATATATTTTTCCAGAATTTAATTGCCCATAATTAAGTCTTATGTCCATTGATCAATCGGAAGGGGTGCTAATTGGGATTGTTAACTAGCCAATATATTAACAAATATCGCTGTGGGTGCTTATTACAGCGGGGCGCTTATTACGTCGAATACGGTACTTATACTTATATTTTCCCAGGCAATGGTATTTGCTATTTAGTGCAAGTCTCAAGATCCTGACCACAAAAGCTGGTATGAATATCAAGTGCAAACTTCCTGATACTTGTTCTAAATAGTCATAGACACCCAGTCAAATCTGATTACTACTCTGCTATCTGACGGGGATCTTCAGCCATGTCACTAGGATGGTGTTACTAGGAGAAGATCACCGAGAGGAGTGGCTATCATTGGATACACTGGGGTTTTCTATTTGTTTTTTATGGAATAAGAAAAAATATGAAAGACAGAAAATTCCCAAAATATTAAAGTAAGCAGTTGACCAACTGATTAATAAGTGAGGAAATAGAAATGGTTCATAAATGGTGCACTGATCGGAATTTGTTGTCATGGAAACTTGAATAAATGAAACTTTCCAAATATCCTAAATAGCAAAACGCACAAGCTCACGGCTAGACTGATATCTGTGCTAAGTTTGATCAAGATATACTGAGCTGTCATTGAGTTGTCTTCGGAAACAAATTGTGACAGCAGATGGAAGAACGGACAGACAGTTGTCACTTCATTGAGGGGGATAACAAGCATTCATTGAAAATGTGTATTGCAAAGTATGTTTATCAATGTCACGAAAAACAATTAAACATTAAATGCTTGGATTGGATTGAAGATGAGTTAGTGATTGAGTGAGGGAGTATGGCTTTATGCTGCTTTTAGCAATATTCCAGCAATATCACGGCTGGGGACACCAGAAATGGGCTTCACACATTGTACCCATGTCAGGAATCGAACCCCGAGTCTTCGGCGTGACAAGCAAACTCTTTAACCACTAGGCTACCCCACCGCCCCACAAAAACAAAGATGTATAAGGTACTTTATTTTCTGGTCCACAGGGACTGGCAGTAACATGAATTACCGGTGCAAGCCTAATTTGACCTGTAAAAAACTGGTAATTAATGGTAAACAGGAACGCCTTAACCAGTAGGCTACCCAATCGCCCCAGATGAGTTAGTAATGAACAGAGATTATTAAACAATACAAGTGTGTCCCACTGATTCTATGAAACGAGTATCAGAATTCTTGTATTTCCCAAAACGAGAGCAAGAATAATACATGAATTCTTACACGAGTTTCATTAAATCAGTATGACACACATGCGAGTGTAATAATTTCTTAATGACCCATTATTTCTTAATCCTTTTGTGCTCCCCTTTAAAAAATGCACTGATCACCACTGCTGTCCAAGAAAAAAACCAATTTGTCTAATGACGTCAACAATCTTCAGTTATGATGTTGTTTCTTGGGTGACGTCATTCCGACGTTACATCACAATAAGATTTAAATGATGTCAACAATGCTGTCGGAATGATGGAAACAACAACCTGGTGTGCAAGAAGTGATATTTAAGTGCACATATGATTTTTATGAACTCGGTTATGTCAAACCCTATGGGTAATAAATGTCGATTCATCCCAGTTCTCTCACAGAACTTCTCATTTAACTGCTCAACCAATACCCACAAACTGATTGATAAGGGACATCTAGACTACGACTCACGTCTCCTCCATAGAAGAAGAATATCTCCTGGTCCTCCCCCTTCTGGTTTTCCCGCGTTGCCACTTCGGACAGCACCTCCTGCGCCCGCTCGATCTCCTCCGGCTCACCCTCTACAACACACCATCACAATGGAGTCAATGTAGATGCAACCTTGCGAAACACATACCGTATTCGACGTAATAAGCGCCCGGGGCACTCTCAAAATTAGAAATAATGGACTCTTATTTGAATATAATTTTGGTGAGAAAAGAAAACAGAGTTGAAAGATTGTAAATTCGTAGTTTATGCTGATACAAAAGAAAAGTATGTGCGTGTCATACATGACAGATATAGTTTCCAGAATATAATTGCCCATAATTAAGAGTGCATATAACACACGAGTGCGTATTATACACGAATAAATAAGTCTTGTGTACATTGATCAATCGGAAGGGGTGCTAAATTGGATTGTTCACTAGCCAATATATTAGCAAATATCGCCATGGGCGCTTATTAGAGCAGGGCGCTTATTACGTCGAATACGGTATATATGTACACAATCCAGCTGTATGTAATACCTGGAGTCGCTTCATGACAAGGGATAGACCATCCCATATTCTTGGAGGGGGGGGTGCTAAAATACTTGCAATTCTGAAAAAAATATTTGTGCCTAGGTGTTAAAACAATAACAAATAAAAAAGTTCGCTGAACATTCTAGATGACCCCAAGAAGATGTGGTACTTGGCACCATTCAGAGAAAATAATTTTTAGGCAGTGACTGAAAAAATATTCTGTATGCGACACAATCGCTGGTCCCTCCTCCCCATGTATTAGATGGTCCATCCCCGATCACTGGTGTTAACCTACCTGTGAACATGACGAGACACACACACTCATTCAGCTGTATGGCGGCGTTCTGCGTGAGTTCATTCAGTGCCTTTGGGTACCAGGGAAACTCCTGCAATATCAACACATAACTAGAAGGTGTTTTTACTCAGAACAAATGTCTCCCCCATCCTTCATTTTTTTACATTAGTTTAAGTTGTTACTGTAATGTGTTTGCAAATCCGAAAAATAATAATAGCACATTATAGCCTGGAAAGATAATGGTTTCATACAGAAATATTCATTAGCATGATTATCTGTAGAGTTTTGGCGAGAATTAAATGCTACTTAGTCCAAATTGTTACAATGGAAACACAACAATTTTTAAAAATCAAAATTGAAAAATATGAAAGGCAAAAGTTGAGCATGTGCTCATTGCATTTGCGTCTCATTAGTTTATGAGTTATGGCTCGGAGACAAAGCCTTGAGTTGTTTGAGAAAAAGCCAAAATTGTTTCCATGGATACGTATCAAAATAAAAATTGGAAAAATTTCAAATTAGTAAAAGGAACCAGTTAAGCTGATGAGCAATGCATATGCCAAGTTTTGTTGAAAAATGTTGAAGGGTTTTCAAGTTATGGCCCAGAAACAAACCCTAACCTCGTTTGAGAGTAAGTCCAATACAAAAAATCAAAGGAATAAAAAACGTCAAAAAAAAGAAAGAAAGTCCAATACAAAAGTCCCTGCATGTACACATTGTTTTAAATGAAGGTCCAAGATTGCATTTTTGTTACATCAGGATTCAATCAGGATTCATTGTTCTCCACACTTTAGAGTTTAATTCATCCTCGTATATCCAGGGCATAATACCCCAATTCCATCATAATTAATACCCTGGACCAAAATGCCACCATACTTTTGTTGTGAGTCTGGTTTCAATACAAAATGCTCTAAAAAAAGGTCCAATCAAATTACACTGTTTTATCATGTACCTGACCCACCTTTAGTTTGATGTTCCCAACACAACTGAGGCAAGATTTCCCATCCCCTGTCTTAGAACTGACGAAAACATCTTTTCCAGTAAAGACTCAATTTCAACAGTTTTCTGGTCCGATTAACCCTATTAAGGACTCACTCTGACGAAAACTAGATTTTTATTGTAGATCCATGCCAAACTGACTATCAGAACTGGCATTTTGGTTGGTTTGAAGTTAACAAATGAGGAAATTTGAGTTTAGTAATTGATTAGAGAGATGGATCTGGTGACATCACTTCAAAACAAAGCTCATCTTCCCGCGGCAAGAGAGTTAACTGACTTTAACAGTCCAGCTTCCATCCTTGCCGAACTAGGCTGGTATTATGGAGTTACATTTTGGCTGGACTAAAGAGTCTATGCATAGTCCAATCAAAATCGCGCACCGAAATCCAAATCCGGTTCGTAAACTGTCAAGCAGATTTCGGTCGATTGCAGGATTTGCAAAACATGTGCATCGCTAACTCCTTGTCAACAGATATTTTCTGAATCTTTTCATGTTTTTAATCAAGGTGCTAACGTGATTTGATGCATTTGATGTAAGACATGTTTTATCACAATATAGATCTTGATTATCGATCAGATCGTCTTGACTGGGCGCTGCCGTTTTGTTTGAAACAAATGCAAGTGATACGAGAGGTGGAATCTGATTGGTCCATAGGAGAGGCATAAAAGCCACATAACTCGTAATAGCCACTGGTGGCGCTCCGATCAAGCCAAGGAATTCCAGCCTAGTTCGGCAAGGGTGGAAACTGAACTTTTATAGTCAGTTAACTCAATTGCCTCGGAAAGATGAACAAAGCTAGGGTGGCGAATAGATCCAGGATGTATAGAGAACCTAATCCTGGAGTCTTTTCATTTTGAATATGTCATCAAGAGTCGATAAAAGTCGAAAATCTGATCCTTACCAACATGACCAAGGAGTTTCAAACTTTTATTCACTTACATTGATATATTTAAATCAAAAGACACAAGGGTGAGATTCTATTTATCATCAAAAAACATTCTTACAAAATTTTCAGTTTGTAAACAATAATAACTAGTGTCAGTGTTAAAGATACAGCTAATCAGCTTTGGTGCAGATCAAGTATGTCATTCGTTTGTGACGTCATGGTAACTGATAAGGTCACAATGGAAAGCTTTGTGTGGCACTTTCATGTGATGTGGGGAAAGGTAGTCAGCACTAGGGGTGAAACAATACATCGGTGCACCAGTGCATCGTGAGTTTTCATGCGACGATGCGATGCACAAGGCATTTTTTTCTGTATTGATACAAGATGATACACTTGCTAAAATAAATGACTGACTACTCGTTTGATGACCCCGGGAGTTTTTGTCAGTCAAATATTGTGAAATGAGTGTAATTAGGGTTTTAAGTTCACTACTAAAAATAGCTGCTACGAACATGTGTCTACAGCGAGCTTTACCATTTGCACCTGCTCTGAAATATTTATAGTCAAGAAGTTTCTATACGATTTGACGTAAATATGTGTATCGCGATATGTATCGTATCGTGACCTATGTATTATGTTATGTATCGTATCGTGGCCTTGCTGTATCATTTTGCCCCTAGTGACTTAAAAGTCAATACCACTAAAATAACTGTTGGATCAGTTGGGAAATTGGAACATAGCTTTTTGTTTTCGGCCCTAGTTGTCTCCCCTACTCACGGCTCCTGTCTTGTCTGTCAGTAGTGATGATCGACCGTTCAGAGTGATGACGTTGCCCTTCTCATCGATCAGAATCAGACTGGGGATACCTGAAACACAACAGACACATAAATCTCCCCGCTCTGGATGTACCGCCATGATGGTGATCCCTGGGTATGAGTAATGGTCAAACATCCAACATGTGTTAGTGTCTATCTCACATCCTGCTATGATATAACACTACACTACATGAGTGTGTATCTCACATCCTGCTATGATATAACGCTACACTACATGAGTGTCTATCTCACATCCTGCTATGATATAATTCTACACTACATGAGTGTGTATCTCACAACTCACATCCTGCTATCATATAACACAACACTACATGAGTGTGTATCTCACATCGTGCTATGATATAATGCTACACTACATGAGTGTGTATCTCACATACGCCATGATATAACGCTACACTACATGAGTGTATCTCACATCCTGCTATGATATAATGCTACACTACATGAGTGTGTATCTCACATCCTGCTATGATATAACGCTACACTACATGAGTGTGTATCTCACATCCTGCTATGATATAACGCTACACTACATGAGTGTGTATCTCACATCCTGCTATGATATAACGCTACACTACATGAGTGTGTATCTCACATCCTGATATGATATAACACTACACTACATGAGTGCATCTCACATCCTGATATGATATAACACTACACTACATAAGTGCATCTCACATCCTGATATGATATAACACTACACTACATAAGTGCATCTCACATCCTGATATGATATAACACTACACTACATGAGTGCATCTCACATCCTGCAATGATATAACACTACACTACATGAGTGCATCTCACATCCTGCTATGATATGTGTAGGAGAAACCATGTCTCCGAGGGATTACTAGAGATTGTAAACCCTTACATGAGGGACGTTCCCGAATGTGAGGGTTTACAATCTCTAGTAATCTCGAGGAGACATGGTTTGTCCAACTTATAAACCGACTCATCACATAGACAACGTTTTTAATTAAATAACTGTAATAAAAACTCTCAAATGTATAACCTGTATCGGAGATGAAATATCGCCTGCAGTTGTGAACTCGGTTCAATGAAACCGGTGACCTCAGCACTTGGGTTTCGCAACGGTGCGAAATCTGCACATGCATCTCGTAGGCTGTTCGTTGTTTTTGTTCTATCAAGGGTTTACAATGATTGCAAGCCCTCCTGCGAGGTGTTACAATCGTTGTAATAGTTTATAAAACACTAGACTGCATGAGCATGTGTCCCTACATTCACTATGGTAAAGCACCATGACATAAGGCAGTAACCATCTCATATTCTGGTAGGGCTGTAATTGTATCCAAAAAAATAAATTGTCCTCAGACAATGCTTGAAAAAAACCATAATGCTTTGACTGCCAAAAAATTGTCTGCAAATTGTCTTTTTTAATATTAGGCTCATAGTTTTAATTTTAAAAATATCTATTTTTTTCAGCTGTAACTGAAAAATGTCTATCTCTATGCAAAATCCCAGCCCTCCTTCCCCAGAATATCCAATCGTTGGTGCCTAAGCTGTACATATCGCACATCCCACAATGCTCTGTTCACACTTCCAGTACTGAAACAGTAGTAGATGCTGCACATGCTATAGGTGTGATTCACTACGACATGACTATGTGCTGTATGTCTTTCCTATCACTATAATCTCTCCCCCACGTCTGGATTGTTGAAGGCAGGTGCATCACTGTTTAACCCCCCTCTCATCACCCCCTACCCCCTCCTATCACAGAGCCCCTCCCGGTGAACGTATCGCTCAGCATCTCTCACAATCCTCATCACCCCCAGCTTGACAAATGGCTTAGTAGATGCAGTTAGCCGAACTGTGTATTTTATTGCCACTTTCCGCCTGTAAATATCGAAGGTGATAGCTCCCGTCTCCCCCTCATCACCTTCCTGCCTCCCTCACCACATGCAGCCTCTGATTGTGTATGGTGCTGATGGGCTCCCTACGAGGAGTATCGAGAAGTATCGGTCTTCAAAGAAAAACTTGCCACCACTGTTGTGTCTGAGGCTACCTGCTTAAGGATCTCGGCTGGTATGATTTTGTAATCAGCGTACATCTCAAAATGTCGCTCATGGGAATGCTTGGGCAATATAACGTAAGTCTATCTCTCCCTGATTTGGAGTGCGATGTGGAGAAACAGACTGAAATCAAGTCTTCCGAGATGTGGGTTTACACATCAAACAGAAAGGAAACAATTATGGTTTTAATTCATTGTCATGCACAAAGCATATGGAAAAGTTGAATGGGGGTTGTGCTGCGACGCTCTTTAAACCAAGGATGGATCCAGCATCTTCAAAAGGGAGGGATCCAAAATATCAAAATTTTCTCTTCGTCAATATTACTGCTTACAACATTCATTTGGTTTTCAAAAGGTGTGTGTGTGTTTTGTGTGTGTTTTGTGTGTGTTTTGTGTGTGTGTGGGGGGGGGGGGGGGGGGGGGGGGTTGGAGGGAGGTCCCTCTTGATCCCCCTCTGTTAAACTTGGATGTCACTAGCAACCTAACAGCACTGTATGATGTCATCACTAGAATATCGCTGCACTAAAAAGTGGGGAAAATACATAACTGAGCATATTTTTATCAGTTTGGATTAAAAAAAACCCAGTATACCAAGATATTGTGATGTTTTTTCCTACATAAATGATTTATGTTGCTAAATATTTTAAAAGATAAATAAAGTAAATTACGTTTATAGCGAACTGACGGATGTAATGAACTGTTTTTTGGGTCTAAGCTATTGGCTGGATATTTTATTATATAAAATTAATGGATATAACGAACACACTTATAACGAAATAACAGATATGGTTAACTCACTTTGTGGTCCCGTGTGTACTCTGCTTATGCGTGTGACAACGCTTATGTTTATAATGAACTGTTAATCTCTCGGCCATGCGCAGCTGTTCAAAGTGGAAATAAACAGTTGCATGCAAGTAATTAACTGGATTAAGTACTGACACCTCATCTTCATTTTACTCCCTCAAGTAACAATAGTAAAAACGTGATAAGCCTTTGAAGTGGATATATGCTGTCTATAAAATGTGACGACAAGATCGAGGAAATTCAGTCGAAATGCTTATAACGAACTACGGATATAACCAATTTAAATTAGCGGTCCCTTTTGAGTTCGTTATAACCGTAGTTTACTGTACAATACATAAACGATTATGTGAAAATGAGAACATGGTGAATGATTTCCGTTTGTGCTTCTACAGTAGTGTGAATTTACCACATTAGTCAAGAAGTGTCCCTTTGAACAATTTTGTGTCGGTTAATTAGAGAAGACAATAAAGAGTTAAGAACGACCTAACTTACATCTGTATCACACCCTTGATACAAACAGACCTGCCGACATCCTCACCTCCTACTATTGTGTTGGAGTTCACCTCCTACTTTTGTGTATGAAACTTTTAAAACTCACTGTTGTCTTAAAGACTTCACCCAATGTTGTTCAGAGACATTAACACCACTTTGAGCAATATTTCAGTTCCATTTACCACTTTGGTGAAACCCATGATAAATGGTTGGTGCTGACAAACATAAAAAAATAATCAGGTCAAATCTGGGATTCAAACCCACACTCATAGCTTTCTGACACACCTAAGGGAGGCAACTCTGCACAAGGTGAATCAGTTAGAAGACAACAGCACAAAGACATTCTTCACACTCAACTGTCAGCAGAACCTACTGTGAAGAGTGTCCGTAGTTTTCTTATCTGAGTAATCAATAAATTAAAATACACACAGATTACCAACGATTTTGGGAGACATGAATAACACATAAAAAAGGACTTGGTTTCCACCGACAACACTTGGTAATTCTGTCTGAATTCAAGATATCATTTGATGCTTTGTATATCATATACAATGATATGACCCCTTGTAGATGGGAAAAGGTGTTACGGTGACCCCTAGATTCGGAGGTCAAGGTCAAACCCCGCACCTACCACCCGCTGATGCCTTCGAGACTACCAGACATCTATGCTACTAAAATAGTCCATCAAACCCTGTAGGTCATAGATCCTTCAAACATTATGTCTTGTAGGTAACATTCTCGTCCCGAGTGGTGGTGTGGCCCTGAATTCAGGCTGCCATATGTGTAAACATTAAACCAGAACAAGCCTGTGTAATTTCTGTATTAGATCAAATCTCCTTAACTCGATAAGTTTGTTTTGTGCCATTTATTTTCGCCAGAAATGCTGTGCTTCAAAGGCACACTGATTTCTATCTGGATATTTTAAAAAACGAGTTTTGTTTTGTTTTGCTCTTCAGATGTATCAGAATATCCTTTTTTCGCCTGCTTGTGAGTTGCTGTCCCTGTCAACATAGCTGAGGTCCTGCTCAAGTCATAAGTGATGAAACAGACCCTCTGTATTGATCAAACAGATCCCTCTGTATCAAATATATCCTTCGTAGTTATCAAACATAGCCCCTCTAAAGCGATCAAACACCCAATTTTGTAGTGATCACCCCCCCTCCTCTCTCCCTTGCTCAAATATTCCACTCTGTGGTGATCAAACTTTCAACTCTGTAGTGATCAAACACCCTATTCTGTAGAGATCAAACATGGCACTGTAGTGATCAAACAATCCACTCTGTAGTGATCAAACACCCAGCTCTGTAGTGATCAAACAATCCACTCTGTATTGATCAAACACCCAACTATGTAGTGATCAAACAATCCACTCTGTAGTGATCAAACACCCAGCTCTGTAGTGATCAAACATCCCACTCTGTAGTGACCAAACACACCACTGTCGTGATCAAATGTCCCACTCTATAGTGATCAAACAATCCTCTCTGGGGTGTTCAAACATACTTGTGCTCACACACCCCACTCTGTAGTGATCAAACATCCCACAATGTACTGATCAAACATTCTACAATGTTCTGATCAAACAACCTATTCTGTAATGATCAAACACCCTATTCTGTAATGATCAAACATCTGACATTGAAGTGATCAAACACCCCAGTCTGTACTGATCAAACATCCAATTCTGTAGTGATCAAACATCCCACACTGTAGTGATCAAACATCTAACTCTGTAGTGATCAAACACCCCACTCTGTAGTGATCAAACATCTCACAATGTACTGATCAAACACCCTATTCTGTAGTGATAAAACATCTGCACTGTAGTGATCAAACATCCACACTGTAGTGATCAAACAACCCACTCTGTAGTAATCAAAAACCCCACTCTGTAGCGATCAAACATCCACACTGTAGTGGTCAAACATCCCACACAGTAGTGATCAAACACCCCACTCTGTAGTGATCAAACATCCCATAATGTACTGATCAAAAACCCTATTCTGTAGTGATGAAACACCCCATACTGTAGTGATCAAACATCCTTGTGTTCACACATCCCACTCTGTAGTGATCAAACACCCCGCTCTGTTGTGATCAAACATGCCACTGCAGTTATCAAACATTTCACTCTGTAGTGATCAAACACCTTACACCATAGTGATCAGTACCCCACTCTAAAGTGGTCAAACATCCCACTCTGAAGTGATCACACATGCCCCCCTCCACCATGATTAAACTGGCCCCCTCTGAAGTGCTCAGATAGCTCCCCCCACACCCCATCACCCCCCCTTGTTTGATTATTATCATGGGGCACAGGGAAAACTCTTCTCAGATCTAAATTCTGCTTTATTGATAATTAATGCAAAAATCAATGTGTAATCACAACATATCAATTTGATCAAAAGGATTCCCCATTATTATGAAATCCCCCTTCAATGCCTGTGATTAGGCTGCATGTATCCTTCCAACCAGCTTCATAGCGATGGGTTTCACTTATTGGAAATCATCACAACTCACACAAACATTTGTGTCGGTATCTGTGATCATCGGCCCTCTGTTGACCCCTCACTGCCTCTATTACGCCACACATCACAGCAAGCAGTAAATCCTATGATTCATAGGCACTGATGCAAGAGATTTGGCCACGGCTCGCGAGGCAAGCCTACTGACTGCCCAGATCTGCCTTCAGAAGCAACTCAAGCTATTAAAGAGACAGCCACTGGGGCCTGGGATATTCTGATGGACCAGCTCTTGGCAATGACTCTGAAGCAGTCATTAAACAGGCAGTGAATCAGCCAGCAGACTCATCATCAACCGCCTCTTGCAGATCAATGAGACTGCATGCGGACTGACATCATCTCATATTGGCCACCAACTGCATAACACACTGTTAATCAACACTATTGATTGCATGTCACTGTGGTGTTTCCAATAGGCTTGATGTCAAGAACAATATCCACTAATACCAGGAACTGATGGTGAAACTAAAGTAGATTATATAACAACAAACAGCTGGGCATGGTCGTGGGACACGAAGTTAATGATTACAAACACTGGAGGATTATCAGGTTGAACTTCGGAAAACTTTTGGTAGCTTTGGTAGTTCATAGCTGGGATATTATGACATAGCTGCTGATGATATTATGACATAGCTGGAGATATTATTATGACATAGCTGGAGATATTATTATGACATAGCTGGAGATAATATTATGACATAGCTGGAGAGGATATTATGACATAGCTGGAGATATTATTATGACATAGCTGGTGATGATATTATGACATAGCTGGAGAGGATATTATGACATAGCCGATGATGATATTATGACATAGCTGGAGATGATATTATGACATTCCTGTCATTATGACATAGCAGGTGATGATATGACATAGCAGACATAGAGGGTGATGATATTATGACATAGCAGGTGATGATATGACATAGCAGCTGATGATATAATTATGACATAGCAGGTGATAATATAATTATTACATAGTGGGTGATGACATAATTATGACATAGCATGTGATTATATAATTATAAAATTAGCTGGAGATGATATTATGACACAGCGGGTGATGATATAAGTATGACACAGTGGGTGATGATATGAGTATGACTCAGCGGGTGATGATATGACATTTTGAGTAAAATGCATCCAACAACTGTTACCATGCCTGATAGACACTTCTAAGAGAACTGAAGGTGTGAGTTATCTCCCCTGGACAGATGTCATAATATCATCACCTGCGGATATTCGAGTCTTGACATGGGCTCGAATCCACCTAAACCCGATCTGTGCTTGTCTCAGTACCCCTCAGAGCACTAAATCCTATTCTTGCAGGACTCAACGCAAATACTGTAATTTTAGTATCTCTTTCCGCCCAGCCATCATTACATTGTTTGTTTGTTGTTGAATGTGCTTATGGCAATATGTCAGCTATAAGACGTCGGTATGTAAATAACATAGTCTGTACCAGACAATCCAGTGATTGACATCATGAGTATTGATTTACACAAGTGGGGATACGGTGACATGCATCAACCACGTCAGCAAGTCTGACTGCCCAATCCTGTTCGTCGCCTCTTACGACATGCATGGGTTGCTGAAGACCAATTCTCTCCCCAGGGGATATATGATTTACAACTCACCTGCAATGCCGAACTGTGTGGTGAGGTAGTGTACTCGGGGATCTCCGAATGGCAGCGCCAGCCATGGCATGGTTGAATAGTACTGCTCGAACGAGTCTGCACTTCGGTCAGAGGACACAAACACAACCTCAAAGCTCTTCCCATCTTCTCGGAGTTTCTCATAAAGTCGTAAGAGCTCTGGCGTGAAGTGTCGGCAAGGTGGGCACTGTAAGTCAAACAAGATGGATGTACATTTAGGGTTAGAAATTCCTTGCAGCAGAGTGCCCATGGCATGGTTAAAATCGAAATGACATTGCTAAAATATGTTTCTGGTGCAAGAAAGATATGCACAGAGATAAGATAAATGTTCACAAACAAGCCTTTACTGGGATGAAAATGAAATTTTTCTTTCATAAGTTAGAAAAATTGCTCAGCTACAGAATTGTCACCCATCCAGTAGTAAAAGGGGTAGTCCACAAGGAAGTGTCACTAGTCCTTCCAAATCCCATGTCCCCTACACAAGGGAGTTAACGAATATAAAAGTCCAGTTTCCACCATTGCCAAACTAGGCTAGCCTAACAAGTCTATGCATAGTCCAATTAAAAATCGTGTGAAGAAAACTTTGTTTATAACGAAAACACTCTCATAATGATCTGAAGATATAACAAAATGTTGGGTTTTTTGGTTCTCGGCCATTTACTGTATATATGCTGTATCTATTCTTATAACTATTTTTTTATAGAAAACATTTTTCCTTGTGAAAGTTAACTTGAATAAGAAATGAATAATCTTATTTGCCCCCCCCCCCCCCCCCCCCCCCCCCCGTCAAAAAAATGTTAACTACAGCCTTGTAGTATATATATATATGGTGACTGTTCACATACTAGAAGCAGACTTGTAACTTGTATGCAGTGATTTCTTAAGTCATCACATTAATAGTTGTTAAAATACAGATAGTAAAAAAGATAGACATTTATTAAGAAAAAGAAAACACCACCAGGACATGTTCAAGGTACATGACATTTTTATCCCAGTGAGGGGATCAGTGTACATTCAAACTTCATTCTCAGCTCCCTGGGGAATATGCTACCTAAGCTCCCAATTCAGGGGGAGAAGCTTTGTTATTCATATTACCACTACATCCCGCCAGGAATGCATAGCAAATTCAATTTTAAAGAAATCTTAGTCTCATTATATTGCTTGGCATCCTCCTCGCAGTTTCAGCTTCATCCTGTCAGCTGCCTTGTTAAAGATGAGGTGAGGTCAAATGGGGGTAACATCGTATTCAAGATTATTGCACTTTTATGGCATGTGATGTGTGTGTGTGTGGCCGCCTGTAATGGTCCTTACGAATGTTGGCTTTGTTGAGTTATCCCGCTGAGACACGATCCTGCAGTTTAGCATGGATACCCCCACTCAGGCACAGAATACTGATTCTGAACTGACCTATCCTTGTTTTATACCCCTTAGGCCAGGCGTTTTATATTTTTCGGATTACAGACCCGCCGACTCTAATTTTGAGAAAATGTAAAAAAAATACATCAGATTTCAAATTATTTTTTTCCGCCAATAACCACGTAGTCAGTTATTTTATTTGTTATCATCACCTTTTAATAGAAAACATATGAATTTACCATTGTAATCTAGTAAAGAGATACATAATCGATCTTTGTTGATCTCGAAGCCGAACATGAATAGCCTCCCTCGACAATTGTCCGTGTTGTAAGTGGTAGAAATTTTATTGATACAAGGGGCTTTATCGTAACAAATGGTGGTCTTTTTAGCATAGAATATGTTCATAAAGTACGCCAGAGGCATTCTGCATTAAAAAAACTGCATCTGGCTTTTTTTTGCTTTCTTTTTCCCTCCTCGAACCCTGGGCTTTGGGCTGAAAAATCCGAAATCCTAAAAATAAAAAAAGCTTGGCCTAATGTCATGTGCCAAGCAGAGAGAGAGAAATATATTTTAACATCTTTTGATATGGGAATCAAACAACCAACCTTCCGCTCTCTGAGAAGACACTCTACCCACTACACCATGGCCGTGGCTCTGAACTAATTTAAATGAGTAGTATTACCACAGTTGCAGCATTCCCGTTTACTGGTAACTACCAGTTTTTTACTGGTCGAATTAGGCTTGGACAGGTAATTCATGTGACTGCCAGTCCCTGTAGATCAGAAAATACAGTCCCTCATAAATCTTTGTTGTTGTGGGGCGGTAGGGTAGCCTAGTGGTTAAAGAGTTCGCTCGCCACACTAAAGACACGGGTTCGATTCCCCACATGGGCACAATGTGTGAAGCCCATTTCTGGTGTCCCCCGCCGTGATTTTGCTTGAATATTGCTAAAAGCGGCATAAAACCATACTCACTCACTCACTCTTTGTCAGCTTGTCGGTTACCATCAGGGTTTCCCCTTGTCTATTTGTAGTACAAGGAAATAACATTTCGCTTTGCTTCAAGGTTAAATATAATTTTGTAGCAATTTAGTCGAAATATTTGAAACATACGGAACTTTGTGTGAATGATGTGTAGATCTAATTACTACAGAGATGACGTCATTGCATTCAACATGATGTTGAAAGAATTAAAGCCAGGTAGCTTTCATACATTTTTTATATTTGTCGAAAGTTGTGACTGACAAAAATAAGTGGGGACTGTTTATTTTTGGAGTTGCTGGTCCACCAGGACTGGCAGTTTCAAAAGCCAGCAGGAACAATGAGTTGTGATCTCTGTTTCTGACTGAACTCCTCGAGCATCTAAATTTGATTCTCCATCTAGTACAACTGTTGTTCTTGTGATGTTTTTGTTGGAAGAGCAGCACACACACAAGTGACTCCACTCATTTCTGTGTCTAAACTTCATAAATAATGTGAAACAACATGAAGCTTATTTTTATTGTTGAGACCATCTGGGAAATTTGTTTCTTTACTTGCATGAATATTTCAGTAAAATCAACACATTTAGCAGAATAAATACAATGTAATGTGTATGTTGACATTGTAATTCCATACCAGCTTATGGATCAAGGAATGGCTTTGTAATTGGCAAAGTCAGCCATTTTCTAAATCCCTACCCTGGTGACCATGTTAAAGATGAAACTGAGGCCTGGAATTCGATATTATCACGCTTAAGTGCAAGGATTGTCAATGGAGAGTTCTAGTTTCCTGGGCGAGATGGAGAGAGGCTTAGTAGGCAGCAGAGGGACAATGACGAACCTGGCTTGATGGAAGATTTGCCCAATACCTCCTATTTTCTGCATCATAATCAAATTGAACATCAATCGTTCAGAAATGGCTGAGTAATGGGTAATATGACACTTTGAATATGGTTGCTGTTTAAAATCAAATCAAAATTCTGGAATTACTTTTTAATGACATCAGTTTATAGATCATTCATCCCTAAGCGGTTTTAGTGTGGCAATCCTTGCAATAATAGGAAATATAGAAACCTGTTATCACGGGATCAGGGGGAAGTCACTAGCCAATGGTGGCACATATTGTTTACTCACCCAATGAGCTGAGAAGTACAACCAGCCACTGTCAATACTGTTTACTCACCCAATGAGCTGAGAAGTACAACCAGCCACTGTCAATACTGTTTACTCACCCAATGAGCTGAGAAGTACAACCAGCCACTGTCAATACTGTTTACTCACCCAATGAGCTGAGAAGTACAACCAGCCACTGTCAATACTGTTTACTCACCCAATGAGCTGAGAAGTACAACCAGCCACTGTCAATACTGTTTACTCACCCAATGATCTGAGAAGTACAACCAACCACTGTTAATACTGTTTACTCACCCAATGAGCTGAGAAGTACAACCAGCCACTGTCAATACTGTTTACTTACCCAATGAGCTGAGAAGTACAACCAGCCACTGTCAATACTGTTTACTTACCCAATGAGCTGAGAAGTACAACCAGCCACTGTAAATACTGTTTACTCACCCAATGAGCTGAGAGGTAAACCAGCCACTGTCAATACTGTTTACTCACCCAATGAGCTGAGAAGTACAACCAGCCACTGTCAATACTGTTTACTCACCCAATGAGCTGAGAAGTACAACCAGCCACTGTCAATACTGTTTACTTACCCAATGAGCTGAGAAGTACAACCAGCCACTGTCAATACTGTTTACTTACCCAATGAGCTGAGAAGTACAACCAGCCACTGTAAATACTGTTTACTCACCCAATGAGCTGAGAGGTAAACCAGCCACTGTCAATACTGTTTACTCACCCAATGAGCTGAGAAGTACAACCAGCCACTGTCAATACTGTTTACTCACCCAATGAGCTGAGAAGTACAATCCAACCACTTTCCCCTTTAATATTGATGCGTCGATTTCTTCCTTCTCATGGAGTAACTTTCCCTTCATGACGTCATGAAACGGTTTTAACTTCCAGGGGAAGCCATTTCCCGCCTCGTCTTCCTGTACATGGTTGAAGCCGTCCACTGTGATGACCTTCCCCGTCTCCCCGTCCAGCAGCACCAACTTGGGGATGCCCTGAACTCGGAACTTCTTCACCAACTTTGCCTGAAATCATGTTAGGTGTTCAGCTACAGATTTGTATCCTTAAGGCATTGCAAACAGACTGAAACGTTTATGTTTCATGATATGACTGAAATAACACAGTTGCATCAGTTTCATAACACAGATCCACATGGATCTATCCGTTTCAGTACACAGACCCACATGGATCCATCAATGTTTCAGTACACTGACCCACATGGAATCATCAATGTTTAAGTACACAGACCCACATGGATCCATCAATGTTTCAGTACACAGACCCACATGGATCCATCAGTTTCAGTACACAGACCCACATGGATCCATCAGTGTTTCAGTACACAGACCCACATGGATCCATCAATGTTTCAGTACACAGACCCACATGGATCCATCAGTTTCAGTACACAGATCCACATAGATCCATCAATGTTTTAGTACACAGGCCCACATGGATCCATCAGTTTCAGTACACAGACCCACATGGATCCATCAATGTTTCAGTACACAGATCCACATAGATCCGTCAATGTTTCAGTACACAGACCCACATAGATCCGTCAATGTTTCAGTACACAGACCCACATGGATCCATCAATGTTTCAGTACACAGACCCACATGGATCTATCAATGTTTCAGTACACAGACCCACATGGATCCATCAATGTTTCAGTACACAGATCCACATAGATCCATCAATGTTTTAGTACACAGATCCACATAGATCCGTCAATGTTTCAGTACACAGACCCACATGGATCCATCAATGTTTCAGTACACAGACCCACATGGATCCATCAATGTTTCAGTACACAGACCCACATGGATCCATCAATGCTCAGTACACAGATCCACATGGATCCATTAATGTTTTAGTACACAGACCCACATGGATCCATCAATGTTTCAGTACACAGATCCACATGGATCCATCAATTTCAGTACACAGATCCACATGGATCCAAACAGTGTTTCAGACCCACACAGGAACTTCATCAGTGTTTATAATCACATAATGCCGTTTACTTTCAAGAGACTATAAATATACCAGCACCAAGACCCGTGTTCATCAGAACCTTGATCAGTTCGCTGTCTGACAGCCTGATATCTGGGAAAAATCTCTGGGGTTACATGCTGCATGTATAGGACCAGATAAAAAATATTTTTCATTCAGTTTTTCAACAGTTGCAAACTTACAGCGAATATGTTCGTTTTGTTTCCGTTAAGTTTCTGCGTCAACTAAACGCAAGGCTAAATGCACACAGACACTTGATGCACGTGAACAGCCTCAATGCCACTGAAAAAACATGCCTCATTCCGGTCTCCTCCAACAACACATGATCAGGATTCTTCCTGCGTGGTGGAAGGCACGACTCTCATCTCATGAACACCTGGTGTCATCCACAGACATTCATGTAATTTATATTGCCATTACATTCCAAAGAATAACAAGCATTAAATACTATTAGCCCCCCCCCCTCACCCCTGTCAATGGTATGTATATCAAGTGCAAACTGCCTGGTACTTGTTCTAAACAGTCATAGACACTCAAATCTGATTACTCTGCTGTCTGACCGAGATCTTCAGCCATGTCAGTGGGATGGTGTTACTAGGAGAAGATCACTGGGAGCAGTGGCTATCATTGGATACACTGGGGTTTTCTATTTGTTTTCGACTTAATGAGACAGTATATAACTACAAAATATTAAAAAAACATAAAAGTCAGTTGCCCACCGGATTGCAAAGTGATGAGAGACAAATGGTTCATGAGTTATGCTCTGGAAATGAGTCCTTCATTGATTTGAATTTATTGGCATGGAAACCAGAAACGTTTTTTTACAAATTCCAAAATTCCTACATAGAATTTCAAGGCACCTGAATTCATGGCTAGACTTGCATCTGTGCAAATGTTTTATCAAGAACGACAGAACAAACCCTACCCTTACTTGTGCTCAAGTCCAATTTGTTGTCATAGAAACTGGAAATTGTAAAATTCATAAAATTCCAAAATAGAAAAAGGCACCAGTTGATGGCTGGATAGATATCTACGCAAGTTTGATAAGAAATATTCAGTGTCGTCTTTGTGTAATGCCCCGGAAACAAAAACTAATGGACAGATGGACATAATCCATTCCTTATGATATTCCCCTCCCACATCAAGGCAGGGATAATTAAAGGGGCACTTTGCTCAAATCTGAGAACCACCCAGCCAATAATCCAACGCTAGAGTGAGTGAGTGAGTGAGTTTGGTTTTACGCCGCTTTTAGCAATATTCCAGCAATATCACGGCGGGGGACACCAGAAATGGGCTTCACACATTGTACCCATGTCGGGATTCGAACCCGGGTCTTCGGCATGACGAGCGAACGCTTTAACCACTAGGCTACCCGACCGCCCCTTCAAATGTTAGAGCAATCACTTTCACATACTATAGGGCTGTATTATTAGTATCATCATCGGGTCACAAGCACAACAAGCATGTGGCAGTAAAAACTGGAAATTCAACTGACTACATAAGGCGGCCATTTTGAATTTTTCAAAACAAAAACATTACTTCATTGTAAAGAAGGATCTCATGTAAAGAAGGAGGTTACATAAAGAAGGAGGTTACGTAAAGAGGTATATTACATAAAAGAGGATGTTACGCAAAGAAAGAAGTTATGAACATCCTCTAAAGATTCATAACTTGGAGAAGAGGTTGGCCTGTATTCATCACAAAAGTGTCCTTTGCTGACTGCCATTTTGAATATTTGAAAATGAAAAGACTACTGAGTTCCAGTCAGCAATGTGGCATGTGTGTGTGTGTTTGTTGTTGAACACTGCATTCAGCAATATTTCAGTTATGATGACGGCTGCCTGTGAATAATCAAGTCCCGACCAGACTTTATAGTGATTGATATTGTGTGCAATGATCACGTCATCGAGGTATGATGGCACGCCATCAACCAAGTCAGTCAGAGCCTGACCTCCGTATCAATTAAGTCGCCCCTTATAATCAGCATAGGTTGCTGGGGACCAATTCTAACATGGAATCTCCACATGGGACAGACAAGTAGAATATGTTCCTAGGTGAGTGAGTGAGTTTGATCTTATGCCGTTTTTTGCAATATTCCAGAAATATCATGGCATGGGACACCAGAAATAGGCTTCACACAGCATGTCGGGAATCAAACCCGGATCTTCAGCGTGACAAGTGAATGCTTTAACCACTAGGCTACCTGACTGCCCATCATATGGGAATAGGATATTCATAGGTTACATTTGCAAAGCCAAATATTTTCTCTTTCATTTGAAGTGAAGTAAAATGAAGTGAAATGATGCATGCAAGATTATTACATTAATATAGTGATATGCATGCACAGTTTTTTGTGCGTGCGTGCATGCATGCATGTATGCGTGTGTGCATGCGCGTGCTTGTACTAGTCTTGACTAACGCATATTTTATAGTGCTAGCCACTGAGATACCATGCCGCAGTTTAACATGAATACCCCACTCAGACATAGTATACGGACTCCGAGGCAACCAGTCCTTGTATTAGCCCTTAATGTCGAGCGCCAGGCAGGATAACAACAAGTACCATCTTTTAACGTCTTTTGGTATGACGCAAACAGGGAACAAACCCCGGACCTTCCGCTCTCTGGGCGGATGCTCTTCCTCTAGACCATGCAGGCGGTCTCTTTCATTTGACATAAAGCTGGTTGGTTTAGTTGAAAAACATAAAAGCTTATTCTTATTTAATATACTTTTGTCATAGAAGGTCTGCCCAAGGGAAGTTACTTAATGAAAATTAGCGAAATGAAGCACCTCAAACAACTGGGCCACCCGTAACCCTCTTATTTGCCACCGGCACCAGCCTCCCCCCCCACCCCCTCCCCCCCAAACACACACATACATACACACACACACATGACCAGGCATATAAAAATAAACTAATACTAACTATATTTATTATATTTCTGCTCATGGATATTGGATATGGCTAATCTATCCAGAAAAATAAAAAAATAAAGTGTCACCTCCTGTGTTTTTATCATCATTTGTGTCCAGACAGAAAGTCGGAACTCTCCCCACACCGGCAGTGTAATCTGTGCGTGTAATACAGCACGCACATATCTCTCCGAGCTGAATTCAAGGCTGATGCAGAGACACTGAACCCCCTGCTATCTTTATATAAACACCCCCATCTCCACACCAGCAACTCAATTTACCTCCTATCTGGGCTGGAAGTGACAACCAACTGGACTATCTACTACCTGCCAAACTGTAGCACACGATACGATGGCGGGTCGGCAGATCAAACACTACACGCTCAACATTGAAACACTGAACACAGTAATCGGTGGTATTCATATTTGTGTCTCGGTCATAAACTCATTAGAATGGGTCCCAGAATTTCCTGAGAACATACATGCGTGTCCTGCATCCCCAATGCAGGGCTTGGATGCTGAAATACATCCCAAAATCCTTGACCTCTTGATGCAGAAAAGAATTGAAACTTTACATGAAATTTATAAGAATGATGATTACTGTTTAAATTGTGCCATGTCGTATCTATTTATTTATTTTTAGTATTTTTTTCTTGTTTAACGCTGCACTTGGCAATATTCTACGTATATAACTGCAATCTGTAAATAATCGAATCAGATCCAGCAGTCTAGTGATTGACATTATGAGCATCGATTTACGCAATTGGAATATGATGACATTCAGACCCAGGCAGAGATCCTGACCACCCAATCCCCATAAGTGGCCCCTTGTGACAAGCATGGGTTGCTGAAGACCAGTTCTAATCTGGATGTTCACGGTGAATGTATAATTCAACATGTAAATCTTTGAACATGGATAAAATTTGTTAGTACCATACCCGTGCTTGTGAGGTTTCATTAGACTTGCACAAGTCTCTAAGGCAATAATTTTTAATCTAAATCATAATTTTTAAGATTATGTAAATAATAAGAACAAGTTGTCCCAAAAGAGAGTGGAGAACTTACTGCCACATATCTAGACTTGCCTATTAGGAGG